TGGAATATACTCTTGAAAATAATAAATACTTGTTCTGGGTTTGACGAGTAATTTCTTCTTTTTCTGGCCATATGTTCTTCTATCGGGGTAGAAAACACCTGACCATTTTTTTTATAGATATAGTTTTCATATGATTGATACTTGGTCTTTCATTTTAAAAACAAAGTACATCAATTTACTTTACCATATATTTTACCGAGATGAAATCAGAGATTTCGTTTTATAGAGAATTAATTGCACTTTAAAAATCAGCTTCTCTTGGGAAACAGAAAATGAATCCTATTTCACTTATTCAGCAATTCTTCCTCAGTTGGTAAAAAAGAAATAATCCGGCTCTCTCATCAAATATATTCACACTTAAATGATTTGTGTATACTAACATAGTTACACCTGAATGCAAGTGTGAACTACGGCACCATAGGTGACATACTTGGCACAAATGTATTTAATTCGCAACATATTTCTTGCCATCTGTCAGTGCAAAAATCTTTACGAAGAAAAACATCCAGACAGCAAGATTATTAAGTGATGTAGAGGCATAGAGCACAAAATTTAAAAGAAGAATATCTTCAACATCCTCCACAGAAGAAGAATTACAGGACAGAAACAGACTCTGACACTAGAGCCTAACCTAATCCAGGGAAAAGGCACTTATCAAAAATTGAAGGCTATAGTTATAAACAAAAATCCTCAAACCTGATAGAAATTGTAATGAAATTTGGCATACACCCTGATATTATCAGCAAGACAATAGAGAAGGATGTTAAACTGAAGAAAGCTGCCAGCTACACCTCAAAATCAACAGATGTTTTCAGGAAAAAAAAAATGGTTGAAGAAACTGGCATTATAATGGTCCCCATGTGACCACACACACCTGTCAAGCCCTCCTATGCAGCTCCGATAGACTTTTGTATTTGTCTGCTTAAACATGGTTTTGGGAGTCAATATCCATATACATTGGCTCCATATAGTGCAGAGTGTGAAAAACTCGTCAAGATTTATAATTTAACATTGACCTCACCAATCTTAGCTAAACCTAAGATTTGCTACATTGGGAACAAACAACATAATCATGGCCATCAAAGTGAGAATTATCAATGATGGAGGAAGTAGTTCCAACAATAGCATAGAATATGAAACATCATTGGTGTTATTAGCCGTTAACTATTAAATATTTCACAAAACAAAGGTTAATGAGGTATCATGTTTGGTAAACCAATAAGAAAGAAAGTTTTCATAATTTGTGCCGAGATTTCTGTTCTTACCTGTTCACTTGTAGAGAAGTCAAATCTGCTGACATCTTCACTTAAACTACTGTCTGCCAAATACTGAGATGCAAAATAATGCACTGATCCAAAATTATTTTCAATGCCATTGCTTTCTTTATTTCCTTCTCGAATTGTCAAGAACTTTTTTTTCCTCTCCATGGGTGCCTACAAGAATTAATCATACTTTTAATGAAGTCAAAACTGTTAAAATATTTAACGAGATAATGCTTCAAACCGAAATAGAATGAACAATAACAATTTAACAACTTTATCCTAAAAAACATGAACACATCAAAATATATTTCTCAGCCCCTCATCACAACTACAAAGCCAACATACATGTTATTTTGCGTGAACATGAATATTTGAACAGAATACACATCAAATGAAAATGTATGAAATAAAATCTAAAAACTGGTCTATTTCTTACATACTGGGTGAGCATGGCTACCCTCACCCCCCCCAAAAAAAGTAATAAACAAATGACATAAGTAACACAAAAATCTTTCTTTATGATCAGGTTGTACTTGTATGGTAAATAAATTAGTCTAACATTACAAATGTTAAAGTGTTAATATGTGGTAGTATACATATCTTCACATGAAAAGGCCATATGATACGCAACATAATTATTATGTTTAGAACCTTTATTAGAGAGTTCACTATGACCCACCCAGAAGCAAAACCTAGCTTTCCATTTCACAAAAACAAAGAACAGAAAGAAAAATAACTTATAAACAAATTATTTATCATGTATAGTTTACAAACAGTATCTAAACGCTGAAGTTCGAAGAAACGATTGTAGTAATGTTTATCTTCAGTTTATATAAAACTTGCCAAGAAACAAACCATTTGAAAACTTTTAATGATAACAGATTTTGGAAAAGGAATTAAATCCACATGTTTTACCTACCTCTAATTCAACTGGAAAATAATATTCCTTTCTTAGATCCACAATGTTCTCCCATATAAACTCTCTCTATTTAAATATATGTATTTATCTTGGATTAAAAACAACGAAACAATAATAATTATTTTAGGTATATACATCTATATATATATATAT